CGAAAGCCATATTTCTGTTACAGCAATTCGCCTGGCCAAAGAAAACGGTGTCATTCTTGTTACGCTACATCCACACACAAGCAATAAAATGCAACCATTGGACAAATCAGTTTTTGGACCATTTAAAACATATTTTAATCAGGCAGCTAACGAAAAGCTAATGACACCTGGACACATAGGAAAACTTTTGACAATTTATGACATTGCTGACTTGGTCGGAAAAGCATTTCCACCTGCGTTAACACCAATGAACATTGCGAATGGTTTCAAGGCTACAGGATTTCATCCACTAAAAGAGAATATATTCTCAGATGCTGACTTTTTGGCAGCAAACTTTTCAGATCGACCTTTACACCAAGAAATTTCCACACAGCCTGATCATCTTTTGCCTGAAGAATCATCTGCACAGGCTGATAAATCACTGCTCCAAGAACCTCCAGTCGAAGTTTGTAAACCAGAATTGACCCTTACTCAACAGTTCTAACACACCTCACAAATTTGTACCAAGTTCATCAAAACTCATCACCACTAAAATAATTCGCCCACATCCAAAAGCCGCACCTCGAAAAGGAACACATAAAGGTAGACCGAAAAGCAAATCTAGAATTCTAACGGATACTTTTGAAAAAAGTTAAAAAAGTAGCTCTTAAAGATGATCGTAAGTTAAAGATAGACAAAAATAAGGAACAAAAGAAAACAGAGTAAAACGAAAAGTCCTCATCCAGTCTGACTCTGAGGATTCGAACTATTCTGTCCACGACACTGATGACTCTTATAGTGAAAATGAAAACAGTGATATTCCGATTGAAGAAGGTAGCGTCAATGATGAGTATGAGATAGGAGACTTTGTGATATTTATTTATGAAGAAGAATACTTCGTGAGTCAAATAAAATCCCTGAGTGAAGAGTTTTGAGTTTTGATAAATTCCATGCAAGTCTTTGAAAAACTGGAAATGGCCTGAAAAGGAGGATTTGAATTTGTATCCGTATCAAGATATTGTTACAAAATCCCTAGCGCCGCAGCTGACTACAGTCGCCCAATTCGACGAAGGGACCTCTACCTGAGCATGACGTCACACGCGCGTTGCCTCCCTAGGCGGTAACTGGAAAAGTCTCGAAAAGAATTCGAACGTCGATCCTGAGAGCGAGGCATCGCGATGGATATGGAATTTCTAGAAATTCTAGATGCATCGATCTTACTATAAAAGAGCGAGTTCCTTCGGCAAGATTATTAGTAAGAGAGTGTTCGAAGTCTCAAGCAAACGAGTATTCTAAGTGAATTATAATCAGTGCAGTAGTTTTGTAAATAAAAGTTGTCTGAGTATTATTAGTGTTGTTGTTTTCAAAACGAACCCCAAGTAAATAACGTAACAGTGGTGTCAGAAGTGGGATAGTACTGATAAATAAAAACAATAAATTGGCATTTTTGTGAAAATTATAAGGCATTTATGGTGAATACGAGAAGTACATCGTACGATACGATGGAGGACATGTTGCAATTTATTCAAAACCAATTTGCGGATGCGGAAAGACGACGACAGGAGGGAAAAGAAGTCGAGGAAAAGCGACGACAGGAAGAAAAAGAAGTCGAGGAAAAGCGACGACAGGAAGANGTGATCATATATATGGTCAACCGTGTTTTTTGTGAACTCCAGATAAGTATCAATCAAAATATTCTTTCTAGTTAGCTCATGCATGTTTATACCTATATAGGTGACCTTTTTTTTCTGTCTGCGAAAATAATTGAGAAATCAAAATGTCAAAAAGAAAACATACCTCAAATTTCTACAGAAAGGTAAAAGCTTGCACTGACAATGATATTGTTGTTATTAATGAGAAACGTAGTTTTGTGTCCGATGATTGCGGTGAGACCAGTAAATTGAAATCGGACTACTCTGACCTTTCATCATATAACTTTGAAAATTTTGTATATGAATCTGATGACAATAATATTAGTGTCAACGAGAATGATAGCCCTGAAAACAATTTCAATCTTGATGATAATTGTATGTTGAACAATATGGTTGCGGAGAAAAAAGCTACAATAGGTGTTGACAGTGTCTGCATTCCTCAGTAGAGCCACTCAGAATTCAAAACTAGTCTAAAATCTTGGGCAGTTAACAATTGTATTCCACTGAAAGCCACAACTGAGTTGTTGAAATCATTGAAAATGTTGCCATTGGATATGAATTTGCCCTCAGATGCAAGAACATTATTATCTACTCCACGTACCACAATTACTAGAAAGGTTCACCCTGGGGAATATTCACATTTTGGTTTAGCTGAAGCTGTTGGTGGATTGTGCAAAAATGTTGAGGTAGTTGAAAAAATTGAACTTCTGGTTAATGTAGACGGTTTACCGATCAGTTAAAGTTCGGGTAGTCAGATTTATCCTATTTTATGTGCATTGCATGGGCATCCCGAAGTTGCAGTAGTAGGAATATATCATGGTTATGCAAAACCGGACTGTGCTAATGACTTTTTAAAAAACTTTGTCAAAGATGTTGTTGAAATGAGTGAAAATGGTTTTTTTGTATGGAGCCATTATTCCTTTTAAAATTGAAGGGTTCATTTGTGATGCTCCTGCAAAATCATTCATTATGTTTACAAAAGGACATACAGGATATTATTCCTGCACAAAATGTCTTCAGAAAGGAAAATACCAAAAAGGGAGAATGTGTTTCCCAAAAATAAACTCTGAAAAAAGAACTCATGATAATTTTTTAACGAGATATCAAGAATCACATCACATTGGCACTTCAATTCTAGAAAATATTCTTAATTTCGATATGGTTTCAAATGTACCTCTGGAATATTTGCACCTTATGTTTGTTTAGGTGTAGTTAAAAAATTGTTAGTAACTTTGTGGATGCATGGTAAACCACCCAACAAATTGAAACCTGATGAGATGCTGGGTATTTCTAGTTTGCATGCTTCATTAAAATTGAACACACCATCTGAATTTGTGAGGAGACCAAGAATTCTGGAGAAAGTAAAAAGATGGAAAGCAACTGAATTCAGATTCTTTCTTTTATACTCTCGACCAGTAGTTCTCAAAAATTATCTCTCTGAAGACAAATATATGAACTTTTTGAGTTTACACATTGCAGTGAGAATATTAGCTACCAAAGACTCAGATGAATACCACGATTTTGCACATTCATTACTCATTTATTTTGTTCAGAATTATGGGAAAATCTATGGTCAGGAATTCATATCTCACAACATTCATGGTTTAATACATGTTAGGGAAGATGTTCAAATTTTTGGTCATTTGGATTCATATCGCGCTTTTCCTTTTGAAAATTATTTGCAAGTATTGAAAAAAATCATCAGAAAATCCGAGAATCCTCTTGCACAAATAATGAGAAGATTGTCTGA